TGCTTATCTAAATAAATTTGCGCCGTCTGGCACCGGCAATCAATCAGATGACCTTCTTAAGGCAATCAACGAGTTGACTAAACAAGTTCAAAACCTAAGTACTGGAAATCGTGGTAATAGAGGTTATAATAATAGTAGTGATTTTAGAAATACGAGTCAATCAACGACATATACACCAAACCGTCAAAACCAAATCGTGTGTTATTCATGTGGTCAATCCGGACATATTGTTAGATATTGTCTGAATGGTAATAATAATGATATCCCTAATAATCGACCACCACCACCTATTAATAATAATGGTAATACTAGTAATAACAATACGACCGTCCCTCAACCAGCTAATGATAGTGGACAACAACTGGCACAAATTCAGCAGATGTTAGCCCAATTATTACCTCAAGATAATACTAGCGACCAATCTTTAAACTAAATGGCGTACCTTCGGAGGGTAAGCGTACATGCCAAAAGACAATCCCCTCAAACCTTACATTATTGGAAACGTATTCCGCTACTAGGACAACCTGTAGCATGTCGAGATTAAACCCGTTAGAAGGAACATTAAAGGAGAATCCTACTGAAGAGGAAAATGTATTACGGGCTACGCAGCAAGTGAATAAAAGTAAACGACCGATAAAGATATCGGATGTAAGACAAACCGAAGCTAAAAGGATAGTACAAAAAGGAACCAAAAAGAAATTGGTTACTGTAGCCCCAATTAACAAAATGGTTGAGCCGTATACTCCTCAACAATTTTTTGACCAAAAGGCTGATATCACCAATGGTCAATTGTTGGCTATGAACCCGAAATTTGGATTGACAATTGCCAAACAATTACGAAAACCTGTAGTTAGAAAAAGGGACGATGACCAGGACAAGAAAACAATTAAGATGGTAATCGACGAAGTGACCCAAGAAAATGGAAATACGCCTGAAGTCAATGATTTACTACAAGTAAATCTTTCAAAACCAAACGATGATAAAACTTCAGCGTTATATTGTGAAGCCTTGATAAATCATATCAAGTTTCCACTAATAGTCGATTCAGGGTCAGCTGGAAGTATTATATTCTTATCGTTATTAAAGGATTTAGAAATGGAAATAACCTAAGCGTCAAAAACTGTTATGGTCAACGTAAACGGTAAAAGACAAAGGCCGTTAGGGGCAGTAACCAATCTGCTACTAAAAATACATGGTTGTATTATCCTTATAGACGCCATCGTTACAGACGCTAACTCATATTCCGCAATTGTTGGTAACGACTAGTTACGAAAGACTAAGGCTATCTTAAATTATGATAGCAATATAATGGTCATTAAGTGGCAAGACGAAACGTTTGAAGTCGCCACTGAGTGTAGGGAGATGCCTCAACACATTGTAAGTATTGAAGTGCCTGACTTGGAGGTAGATGAAAATGAAGAGGAAGCCGCTAACGAATCTGAAGAAGAAGAGTACGAAAGCGATGACGAAGAAACGCAAGATCAATTATTTTGCAATGCTCAATTTATAACTAAAGAACAAGCGCAAGAAATCGAAGATGATTTAAAAGACAATAAACTTGTCAAAAATGAGTTTTATTATCAATATGAAGAAATAGAGAAGGGCAATTTTCATACAGGAAAACTGAGTAAAGAACAACATCAGAAATTCCGAAAGTTTATGGAGCGACATCAGAATTTGTTTGCCTGGAATCCTAATGATTTCGGACAAACATCGGTAATCACCCATAGTATCGATACCGGAACTGCCACTCCAGTTAAACAAAGGTTTTACCAAACTTCATATCAAAACTAATTGTTTATAAAGGATGAAATACAATGACTTTTAGAAGCGGGACTAATTATACCATCAAAAAGCCAGTGGACTTCACCAGTAGTAGTTGTAAAGAAGAGAAATGGTAAAAAACGCCTTTGTGTAGATTACCGAAAGCTGAACAAAATTACGAAAAGAGACAATTACCTGTTGCCAAGAGTAGATGATATGCTGGAAACCTTGTCAGAATCTCAATGGTTTTCATTCTTGGACCTTGCCAGCAGTTTTTGGCAAGTTGAATTGGACTCAAAAGACAGAGAAAAATCGACCTTTATCACCAGGTTCAGAACATATGAATTTACGGTGATGCCCTTCGGTCTTTGTAACGCTCCTGCCACTTTTCAGCGTTTAATGGACACAGTATTGCGGGATATACTATGGCAATTCATCATAGTATACATAGACGATATCAATATAGGTTCCAAAACATTCGATGAACATCTTCATCATTTGGAACAGGTTTTTTATCGATTGGAACAGGCTGGTCTCAAATTAAGCCTGGAAAAATGTTTCTTCTTTAAAGAAGAAATCCCATTCTTAGAACATATTGTAAGCCGGAATGGCATACAAACCGATCCAGAAAAATTGCAAACTATCAAGGAGTTTCCTATACCACAGGACTTAACGCAACTAAGGGGATTCATCGCCCTAGCATCTTATTACCGAAAATTCGTAAAGAATTTTTCGTTTATCGTTGAACTGTTAAACCGTTTATTAAAAAAAATGTCCCGTATGTTTGGGGTGAAGAACAACACGATACTTTTGAACGATTAAAGTGTTGTTTAATGACGCCACCAATATTGGCGTATCCTAATTTTACCAAACCTTTTATTCTTTATACGGACGCTTCCACTTTCACCCTTGGAGCTATACTATCGCAAAAGGACGAAGAAAGGAAGGAACGAGTAATTGCTTATGCGAGCAGGACTCTCAATAAGCATGAGTGAAATTATGGCGTTACTGAATTAGAGTGTCTTGCCGTCGTATGGGTAGTAAGACACTTTCACCATTACCTTCACGGTCAAAAATTTCTTGTTATAACTGATCATGCAGCGTTGAGGTATTTGATGAATATGACTAACCCGATCGGCAAATTCGGCAGATGGATAATGACTTTAAACGGATATGAATTGGAAATTATAAATCGCCCAGAAAAATTACACTCCAACGTAGATTCATTAAGCCGAATAAGAGTTAATAAAACTGATATATTATATTTTTCTTTACACACACTGGATTAACATTTTTGACACCTCTTTAACGGATTTCCCATCTTTAGATTAACAGAATGGATTTAACAACGTATTACTTACTCATCTGATATTTGACAGATTTTTCAATGCTGACTAATATCTCAAAAGAGCAGCAGGCTGCTATAAAAAAAAAGTCTCGATATTTTATAATTTTAAATAATCAGTTATACAAAAAGAATAAAGACAACCCTAACAGGCCAATTAGAGTAGCTAAAGAAAGTGAAATAGAGGAAATTTTATATCATACACATTCGGATCCTTTAGCTGGACACTTCTCGATTGACGAAACCTATTGAAGGGTAAAAATCTGCTATTACTGGCCGCAAATGTTTAAGGATGTTCGTAGATATGTACGAACATGTGACGAGTGCCAACGTAGAGGTAAAAATCGACGCATTGAACTTCTACATCCAATCAAGGTCAGACAACCTTTTGACAGAATAGGTATGGACATTGGCACGTCTGAAATGTGTGCCAGGTTGACGGCGCAGTGTTGCTCAGTAATTTTAAAAAGATTTAAGTTAAAGATTTTCTTTTTAATGTAAAGCTTTCAAATTTACACATTAGATGTATTTTCATCTGTTTTACAAAATTCACTTATAAATGGAAGGAGGTTTTGGAAGTAGATTTTGACTTTAGTATATAACAACCAATTTTATCGTCTTTGCCGATCATTTCCAAAATTGGATTTGTCGAAAGAACAGTTTTTGTTAAATAACTCGAAAATGGCCTTCTAAACCACCTGTATATGCTTTAAGTAAATTTGCAGAGTGAACAAAAATACTCCTAATGCAGGAATTTAAAGGTTTTATTTTAAATAAAAAAAATTGCAATTTAATTTTTTTGGAAAAAATCGCTGCACCACATTGCGCCATCAACCTGGCACACATTTCAGACATACTGGACATTGTTAGACCGCTCCCTGAAATGAAAGATGGCAACAAGTATATAGTGGTTGCCACTGAATATCTAACAAAATGGCCTGAAGCAAAAGCCATCCCTGATGCAAAGGCATCTTCAGTAGTCACATTTTTCTATAATGATATTATATGCCGTTATGGCTGTCCCAAGGAAATATTAACAGACCGTGGAAGCCATTTTGTGAACGAAATGCTGAATTCCCTATGTGATAATCTCGGTACTAAACATAGATTATCAACGGCATACCACCCTCAGACTAATGGATTGGTGGAGTGTTTTAACCGAACGCTGTGTGAAGCATTGGCTAAATATGCCAATGAAAACAAGGATAATTAGGACGCATATATACCATCTGTCCTGTTTGCTTATAGAACCAAATGGCATAATACTACACGTCATGAGCCTTTTTATCTCATGTATGGTCGGGATGCAGTATTGCCAATAGAATTTGTGATAGAAACTTCTCAAGTTAATTATCCTGAAGATAACTGGCAAGATGATCTTACTAAGCGCATACATACATTAACTGGTAAAGTAATAGGTGATAGACTTGAGACACAGGATATGATATACAAATCGCAGCAAAAGCAGAAACAACGTCATGATGCTGATCTTAAGGAAATTATCTTCAAGATAGGTGACCTTGTTCTATTATACCAAAGTCAATTCTGAGGAAAACAGAAGCTACAAGAACGTTGGAAAGGACCATATTATGTTCATGAAATTATAGGAGATAGGGCATACAAACTTAGGACTATGGAAGGAAAAATTTTAAAGGTCCCAGTGAATGCTGATCGCCTGAAATATTATCACCAATGGTGATGACTTAATTAGTTTATATTGCATGAATGACATAATCATAAAATGAAATGCATATACATGCATAAATTAGGTTGTTTATTAAAAAAAAAAAAAAAAAAATATATTTTTTTTATATATATATATATGTGTGAATTTTTTTTATTTTTATAGGTTATATTATTGTTTATTTAAGTTTATTATCGATATTTATCTATGGCAAATACAGTGAATGCACACCAAAAGATTCTTGAAGACCTTTATCAAATCTTCCCAATTGAAGTTGCGCCAATAATGCCACCTTATAATGAAGAAGCAACTATGGATAGTAAATTCGAAACATTAAAGGAGGCTATTAGACGCTTGAAAAGACTGGGTGACCGACGATTGCATTTGGTAAATGCATTCTTTTTAGGACAATTCTTGGAAAAGAAAGTAAAAACTAATGCTTTACGAAGTCATTACACGCAACAACTGACGCCACATTATCGTATCACATCTCAACAGGTGTATTATTTATTCGAAGCCTTCGGTGTAAGTCAAGTTATGAGGACTGTTAATACCACATTAACCTTGGTCAGAAAATTAAACCAAGAAGAATATCAAGATCTGGTCATGAGGTCTATGGAGATTTTCAACGGGGTTGAAAATTAGGAGGAGAGTGATGTTACGATGAAAAACAATGCGACGAAGTCACGTGATATAACCGATGATCAATGGTAATTACCGGGACGATTGGTATTACCAATGTGTGATTGTATGATCAATGTCATATAGCGGGAAGATTAATGTTCAAAATGTTTAATATATCAAATATATTAAATATATTGCATATATTGCACATATGGTATATATGGCATATATTAAACATTTTAAACATTTTTAGTTTAGTGTTTTTGCTTATAAATAGACGCGATGTTTTTCGATGTAATTAGATAGGTATCCAAGTCAATAAGATATTTACTGATATTAAATAAAAACATATTTTATTATTTATAATATCTTTGGTTATCTCATTGTTTATTTTATAGTTTGTTATAATTGTGAGTCAATATTGCGTCTGAGTGTATATGCCTGTGTGTGCAATACCGTATTCGAATTTGACTGAAATTTTATTTTGTTTTATTGTGTAACCTTCGTAAATCGATTGACAGTGATACATTTACTAATATTTACATATAGTTATTTTCACTTTGCGTTCATTAATATTATTTAACATTTATTTTATTCAATTATCCTTCTGCTTAGCATACACCCATACGCTTATTTTTATAAGCATACAAGAACTGGCTTAACAGTATTAACTAAATAATTTAGTTTCGCCCTAATGTTGCTTTAAATTCTTTCGAAATAAAAACTGTTATTGTAAACTTTTGTACGTAATAATGTTTTAATCAAATATTTTAAGAAAAAGAAATTTGTCAAGTTCATTTTAACACTTATAATATTTGCATCGATCTTCATTAAAATTTAATATAAAGCATATATAGCGGAAGATACAAATTACAAAGCGTAGTGGATAGGGATGGCAACGGTCACGGTCATTAACCGGTTATGACCGGTCATGACCGTGACCGATATTGGTCGGTCAAAGACCTCTGACTGACCATTTGACCGACCGTTTGACCAACCGTTTAACTGATCCTGAAAATGTTTGCGAAATGTAATTTAATAAAAAAATGTTTTGCAAACGTTTTTTTAATTATTTTAATAGAAAACGTTGCGAAAACGTTTTTTATTAAGTATTTCAAACGTTTTTTTATTAAATTACATTTTGCAAATGTTTTCAGGATGGGTTAAATGGTCAGTCAAACGGTCGGTCGGTCGGTCAAAGGTTCTTGACCGGTTATGACCAACCGATGACTGACCATGACCGACCGTTGCCATCCCTAGTAGTGGAGGATACATGATGTAGCGGAAGACATTTCTGTTCTACTTCTGTACTTAGGAGTATATAAATGTCTGTTTATACGCACATATATGAAAAACAACTTTTTGTTAAACTATAAATCGCATCTTGAGATTCATAAAAGTCCAATTTAAAAATAATAATAATAAATCATGAATCTATCTAATGATTTTAAAAGTTCCTGTTTGTCATAATTAATTTAAATATAGTAATAAAAAAATCATTACTTCACTGAAGGGTAATTTTTATCTGCGATCAATATGATCAATATTATTTATTTTTTAATTAAAATATATTTATGATTTTAAAATCTTCAAATATTCAAAAATTAAGATGTTACAATTCATTACTTGAAAATGTTTTAGGGTTTGTTGCATAATTTTGTAATAATTTGATCATTATTCGTTATGTACCATACAGAAATTCAGTACATTTATAAAGAGAGTGACGTAAAGAATATATATTCACTTTACGTCCTACGATAACTCTCAATTACCTTTAAATGGTATACCAAATACTAAACCTTAAAAAGAAAATATATGAACGGATTTTGAAAGAATTACTATTAATTTTATGGACTCTATATCCCGTCACCCTAAATTCCGACACTCAAAATCTGACAAAATCTTAATCCAGATGTCATAATCCCAAAATAAATGTCATAATCTCGTAACCCCCATAATACCGATTTCAAGATTTTTCATTTCTGTATTTTGAATTTCGGGCTTATAAAGTATCGTGATTATAACATTCCGATATTTTGATTTTTCGGGAAGAAACTACAGGTGAATTTCGGGATATTATGATGGAAATGTAATTGGATTACAAATGTATTATATCGAGGAATACTATAGACTCAGCCAAAAATAAAGAATTATTCCGTTTCACAACCCTACTTTAAAATATTTTCCAAAAGTAAAAACTTTGGTTTAAATTTATTTCTTTTTTTTCTTATAATATTTTAAAGAAATTTAAGTGATTATAATTTTATTATTGATTTTAAAGTTAGGCGAATTTTACTATTCAAATTTTAATGAAATTTTTTATTAGCTCCTTATTAATAATAACTTTTTTTTTTTTAATATCATTAATTATAGTTTCGGCTTGACCAAATTTCACCTAATTAGTTACGAGTATATAAAAAATTCTGTATTACTATACTCTTATTTGATATTTTAATAAACACATCAGAGAAATTTTATATGAAATTACGATCTATCAATATAAATAACTTAATTCTCAAATTACGTATTTTTTTTTGCCTGTACAAAGCACATTCGTTTCCAAATTATCTGAATCGGCATCATTTTAATTTTTTATTATAGTAAACATTTACAAAAAGATATTTATAATGAGAATTTTGCTAAATTTTCTATTCTTTAATTAAATTTAATTCAAGCTAATATATACTGTTGAAAGTTAACATATTGTCTTCCGGACTATAGTTTCTCCGATTTTTTTTTAAGTAAACATCGTAGAAAGAGAATTTGCCAAGCAATGATACTTAAAGAAAACATTAATATATTTATATATATGGATTTTTTTTTAAACATATTATATGATTTAAAGCATATTAATATAGTTGTTAAAATTTATTTATTACCCTTAATTAGCAATAAAAGAATAAAATCTAGATAATAATTTTATAGTATTGTGAGAGTTTAACAAATTCTTTCTTTTTGACGAGAGTATTGATAATGTCCCAACCTAGGTTAAATCATATATTTAAATTGTATACCATATTCCTATAAATTACAGTATCAATTTTTTGCATTCCGTCTTGATAAGTATTGTCACAATATTTTCATAATCTAATCTTTAATAAAGAGACACACTATGCTTATCTGTAATTAAGTAATTAAGTGTATAATAATTTTGATATGCGAAATATAACCGCACAATAGGAAAAATTTTATTATTTTGAAAGAAAATGTTAGCAATAAATCCACTATTGAAGCAATTATTAGTAATAATTCGCCAATAATAGGCTTAAAAAAATTGATAATTACTAGTATATTTATATTTATTATTAATTTATTTCTTAATTTTAATCAACAATAAAATTAACAGTTAATGATATTTTCAAATCCTATATTGTATTTGTTCAATTACAAACTAATTTTTTATTAATATAAAAAAAAATTACATATACTCTATAATTAGTGTTACTGTAAATAAAATACAATGATATCAACAAAAAAAAATAATAATATCCTAATTATAAAATCGTGTTAATAGTTGGTTAGATGGTTCAATAAATGATAAAGTTAATTATTCAAAATTGGGAGAGAGAGAAGAAATAATGAAACTATCATATTAAAAAATTTAATGATTCTCAAGGTGTTAGCAAATATTTTTTGAATGAGGTAAATTACATTATATTTTATACTATTTATCATATGTTTAATTAATTTTTAATTTTTAATCTGAAAATTTATAGTTAAAATCAAATCAACATTGTTACGTATTTAATCGTCATATTATTAGCACTTATGGCTTTACAAAAGATGATTATATATTAGTTATGCAATATGCGTCAGGAGGAGATTTACATAATTTTTTACGAGAGAAATTTACTGAAATTACATGGAATAAATAAAAAATAAGTATTTTGTGGCAAATTGTGAAAGGGTATTTATAATTTTATATTTGTTATGTTTACTAATATTAATTTCTAATTAGTTGATTTTTTCCTTTTTCTCTAGGCTCGAAATTATACATAATGCAAAATTTACACATCGAGATTTTCATAGTGGGAAAATGTTGATTGAATTTATCATATGATAAAGAACATCAATGGCAAATTAGAGACTTAGGACTATCTAGCCTGTAAATAACGTATCACCAAATAATGATCTATATGGAGTGATACCATACATCGCACCAGAAATATTTAGAGGATCTAAATTTTCTAAAGAATCTGATGTCTATTGTGGGCATGATTATGTGGGAACTTACAACAGGTTGTAAACCTTTTGCTAATGTTGAACATGATACTCACCTTGTTTATAAAATTTTTGATGGAGAACGTCCTGAAATTACAGAAGATACATCAGAATGCTATGCTAATTTAATGAAAAGATGTTGGGATGCTAATCCCAAAAAAAAGACCTCTTATAACAGAAATTCGTAAGATTTTAAATAAGTGGTATTATGGAAATAAGAATTTAAAACAATTCAAAAAAGCTGAAATAAAAAGAAAGAGTTAATAAATTTAAAAAAACTTGGTCCCGAGTTAGTAAAAAACCTTATCCAAGTGCTATATATACAAGTAGACCGTTAAGAATGTTCATTAAATTCTTCAAAAGGTATGCAGTAAAAATAGGCAATATAAATATGATTAAGTCTTTAAGTCTTTGGATTTTAAATACCAAATTTTTTTATAGATTACACTTCAATAGAACTAGAGCTCAATATAGATATTAAAAGGTATTTAAAGTTTAACATTTTAATTCATTTTTACGTAAACTTATATTCAAACAATAATTCGTATATTATTAGCCCAAAAATTCTTGGAACTAAGCGAAATATTGAAGAATTAGATATTAATTCTTATGGAAATAGTGGTATATACTAATTTGAATAATATTGAGTTTATATTTATTAATTCATTTGTATTTTTAATTTAAAATAGGAAAACATTAAAATTAAGTCAATTTAGTCAAAGACTTCTTTCACAGACCGATGAGATATGAATCTGGGAAAAAAAATCCCGAATTGATAGAATAAATATTCTTAATATATAATTTAATTTTAGCATTCTTCATATATACGAGATATCATTAAACGTGTATAATTGGACAATAATATTATTTTAGGGATCAAATTGAGTTTATTAAACAAAATATGGTTATTAGGCAGCGCGTATATGTTGTACTAACAGTATTTTCATAGCGCAGCCAACTGCAAGCGTAAAAAATGTCCAAAATGGCCGGCATTATGTACGTAATTTAACTGAAATTAAGTATGGCACACATGTAATAGTTAGTGCGTTGTCGAATAGGATTTTGCACATAAAACTGATAGGTGTGGTGAAAAAAGACACGTGTAAAAATCAGTTTTCAAAATACATGTTTTACATATGTAAATAATAATTTAATATTTAATCGTCTAACGCTACGCCTTATACGAAAATTTTTATTAAAATATATTAAAACTTCTGATGTAATATTGATATGCGCAAATCTCTTTTTTTTTTGTTAGACATTAGGTGGCTAGACAATATTTATTTATAATTTATATTATGCTCTATTTAATAGAGATGTGCCATGCACAGTATGCGAAGCATGATGTGATGTTCATAATCCGCCCATATGTTCAACCAGTATTTATATATATTATTTTTTTTTTTTACTCTTTCTCCGTTTTCACCAAAATTCATAGTATGGCGCAGTAAAGATTTTTATAAACTTCAAGTTTTCAAAAACTGTTATACAAAGTTTTTATAACACCGCTTATAACCAAACACAAGTGCGGATATATCTAACGATAATACCACTCTATATCTTATAGTATATACATATGGTAAAGGTTTCGACCTTTAAAAGACATATACAGCCTTTCTAAGGGTAAAGTTTTTATTCAAACTTTTTTTTTTTACATCTACTTTAACACATATTTTACAATACGAAGAGTTTAACACTTTCCTGCGACATAAAAATATAAAAAAAAAACCTATCACTTTTCCTTCGGGAAAAAATTCTCTCTTCCGCCGCTCAAAAAGTTTTTTTTTTTTAGGTTGCTGATCGCCAATGATATTCATTTGAAAATTCATACTAAGATAAACACAACTCCTATTACAAATTACATTATTATAAATTTATAATTATAGATCCACTGTAGATGTAATTTGTATTGTTCTAATTATAATAAATTATATTGTAAATATAATTTAAGTTATTCTGATATAATCATATTATAAATACAATTAACCTGCATATTATTTTATTTAAATTAATTTATACTTTATTACTCTCATAATCTAATTATTAATTATAGTGAACTTCTAATTGTAACTAAAAATTTAATATTATATAGTAATACTACTGTTCCCGGTGCGAAGCAACGGGCAACTGCTAGTAATTATTAAAAATATTATATATTATTAAAAAAAAATCATGACAAATAAATTTTTCACAAAGAAACTGGTGGTATATAGCAATTTTGAAGAGTTAAATTGCATGATTTCCATTAACCTTAATTATTATTTTCATTAAAAAAAAAGTATAAGTAACTAATAAAAATTATTATGTACACAGTGTATAATATATAAATTAAATCTTACGATTATAATTTTTTTATAATTTATTATGCACCTTTTTTTTATTATATCAAAATTGATAATAATTTTCTAGTTACTCTTGCTTATTTTTTTCTATTTAGCTTGTTAGAAAATCAATATATTATTTGTTTTCTAAAACGTAATACTACTGTCTTACTAGTTACTAGTATAAATAAATGTTCATGTAATTTGATAATATAGCGCAAATAATAACTAGAGCAGTGAGCTTAATAAATAATTATTCGTTTTCTTCAGGGATTCGCATATGATATAGAAGTAACCCAGAATTTTTACCTTCTTTTTTTTTAGCAATAATTGATTACTAATCAATTTATCTTTCAATTAATACTTTAAATTTGTTTTTTTCAGAACATTAAATCTAGTTGTTAAAGCTTACTGTCATATTTTACAGTATCTTTGAGTGTAACTACTTTTGGACGTTATTAAATTATTATATTTTTGAATTTTAAGAAAATATTTAGTAAGTCATTAAATACCCAAATTTGTTTTAATAATAATATTTCATGTTATTATTAAAATGATGTTAAAATAGATGGAAATTTTAATAATTTATTGTTTTGTCATAATAATTATTTTTTTTTATTTACAAGCAGATTGAAATTTTTTATAAATATTACCTACTCTAATGATGAATTATATTATTCATTAATACGAATTTCCTTCATATAATATTTCTTTTAGTTTTATATAGATTTGAAGCAATTAAACTAATTGGATAATACATTTTTTAAAATTTTTTTTAATCTAACAATTTTAAACACGATTTTAATTATAGTAATTTTGACTGTACTGTATTTTTCAACGTTAAATGATCGACACAGATTTTTTTTCTGTGAAACAAGTATTTTGGTCGGGAGTTTATGAAAAAGGAAATTTCTTACTTTAATAATCTGTGATTTTCTGCTGACTTCTTGAATGATTTCATTGTATTGCCTAAATTTTGTCAATCGCTGCTGTGCAACTGTTATACGTTTTAAAAGGTCGCCCTTTTTTTTTTAAAAAAAAAAAGAAATTTTTTTACTCCGTTTAGATATAAAATTGAAGTCACATTTATTAATCCAATATGGAAGAATTTATACTCAATGATGATGTATATGAGCAAATAAAAGATTTTAACTATCTGAACCTAACTAAAGAACAAAGTTCGTTAATTGATAAGTTAATATTAAATGAAGAATTAAAAGAACGTTATAAACAAAATGGTTTATGCAAAGAATGTAAGCAGCCTAATACTGGTGGTAGTTGGTGTAATTCATGTAATGCTAAGAATTTTCAACAAAATTTCAAAAATTGGACCAGTGGAAATCATGAAGTTGACAAGTTTATTCAAAAAACACAACTTAAAGCTAAAGGATATTGTGAGGTTTTAGAATGGATTGAATATGATAGATTTGAAAATGTTGAATACTTGGCAAAAGGAGGATTTGGAACTATTTATAAAGCAATTTGGAAAGATGGATATATTTTGGATTTTGAGAATAATGAATGTATAAGAAGTAAATTTTGGTTTAGGAAATATGAGAATTTTCCAGTTGTTTTAAAATGTTTACATAATTCTCAAGATATTACGTCTGATTTTTTAAGAGAAGTAAGTTACTTATTTGTATATAGTAATTTCAAGATATTGTTATTAATATGGATTTTTTTTTAGATTGGAACCCATAATATGATTCCAGGTACAGGTAATATAACACACTGTTTTGGCATTACTAAAGATCCAGAATCTAGAAATTTTATGATAGTAATGGGATATGTAATAAATGGTAGTTTAAGACAACATTTAAATAATAGTTTTAATTCAACAAAATGGTATGATAAGTTTAATATTTTACAATATATTGCATATGGCCTCTTTTATATTCATTAAAATGGGTTAATTCATCGTGATTTTCATTGTGGTAATATATTAAAAGAAGATATTTTTTCTTTAATTACTGATTTAGGATTATGTCGACTAGCGAATGTAAATCCATCCCAAAATGAATGTAAAGAACTATATGGGGTATTACCCTATGTAGCACCAGAAGTTTTAAGAGGAAAAGAATATACTCAAGAAAGTGATATATATGGATATGGAATTATTGCATATGAAGTCTGTACAGGGCTTCCTCCTTATCATGATATTGTTCATGATAACTTCTTAGCTATTAGCATTTGTCAAGGACTTAGGCCAAAATCGAATTATAAAATTCCTCAATTAATTCTAAACATAATTAAACAATGTTGGGATGCTGATCCTTTAAAACGACCTAAAGCAAATGAATTGCAAATGTTATTATTCAATTTATGGTATGAATCAAATGCTGATGATGAAACTGAAATCAAAAAGCAATTTGAAGAAGCAGAAAAAGTTAATGAGAAGTTAACTTCCTCTTCATTGATATATACTGGTCCTACTCTTTCATATACTACAAATCCCCAAGCAGTTTACACGAGTAGACTTTTAAATTTTAAAAATCTTCCAGAACCAAAAAATGCTATTGGTAACAAGGATGATGATAATTCATTTGGAGAATATTCAGGTAATTAATTTCCTACAAAAGTATTCTATAAATATTTTATTTGATGTATATAATTATTTTTTTTTTACATTTAGAATCAATAGAAGCAATAGATTTTACTAAACTAGATCTAGGTACTTATATACATTAACTTGTATATGATTTATTTTATTAATAATATTATTTAATAATTTATTTTTCACTTATAGATAAAAGCAGCTGAATAAAAGAAAGGAAGGTTATAAATTTCTTTTATTATTTACTATTTATTTTTTTTAACATTACTACAGATATGATATTTTTATTGGAATGTATTTTTTATAATTAAATAAAGTATTATTATATATAAAATTATATGAAAAATAAATAGAATGAATTATATGTAATATGCTATAAAATTGCAACAAAGTAAAAAATTACATAGTATTTTATGTTAATCTTTAAATATTGTAAAGTTATCCAACTCAAAAGGAGGTCAAAAACTTATTATGACCCAGTCCAGATTTTTAGTTCGGGTTGGATCAATAAACAAATCTTTTAGTGGTGTAAATATTTTGAAAGAGTAATATTATAAGAATTATATATACATTGTAAATAGTAAAAAAAAAAAATTATTAAAATTATTGGTTTTATATTGAGATATTCTTCTGTCTAATAATGTTTATAAAATTTATCAAACGAAAAGTTATATAAGAATTTGAACTTTTATGTCTTTATGTAAAAAATTTAAAATAAAATATTCTACTTTTAATATTAAAGATGAAAAAACGGAATGGGATATATAATATATAGTATGTATAACGAATTATCAATAATGATTACATTTATTTAAAATGAAAGAGGGTGTAGCAGTTTCTGAAACATATATCTGTATGTGGTAAATCGAGATATAACAAATCAGAAATTACAAAATATCGTTATGCGTTATTAATTTCCATTGACTGTGTTAATGAAACAAATTATCAAATAAATTTATGGTTAAAAATCGAATTTTTCCAATTAGAAAACAACTTTTAAATACAATGAAATATTTATAAGTGGCTTTTCGTAATATATATTGGATAAAAAATAAAAAATAATTATTTTTGCTTTAATAGTAAACATGTGAGTAAATACATTAAATACATTGGAATGAATGAAGTGTATGTAACTTTACATAATATTTATTTAAGAGAAATTGAGTTTGAAATTGACTCGTGCGATGGGTTTCTCGTTACACGTATAATTTACACCACGTATAGTTTGCCTTTTTTAATTATGTATTAATCCTCAAAGGTTATACTAATCAACTTGTATGTAATTTAGTCATTGACAAATAATTTAACTATATCCGGTGAGTATATATAAAATTTTTACTATATTGTTAGTAGTCTTATGTTTTAATAAAGGAATATGCGAGTGGCAAAAAATTTACACTTATTTTATAAAGAATTTCACAAGTATTGAAGTGGATCGCAAAATTAGTTGTTTTGAGCCAAAATTTGGTTGGTATTTACATTTATATTATTTTTTACTAATAATTATTTGAATGATATTAAATTATACAATAATTTATTTCCTAAAATTTTTATTTATTCTACTAATTCCGATCAGAATTAAGATAATTAAAAAAGTGGACACACGAAGTTAATAAACAAATTGCCTACAAAAAAATCATAAAATGAAGTGGACAATTGAAATCAATAACAAAAAAAGAAGTGAGTTGTCTACAAGAAATCAAAAAAATGGAGTGAATATGTAAATATAAAAGAGAAAAAATGAATGAAATTTAAAAGACACTTTTATAAAATAAGAAACTAGCAAGTTGAACCCCAAAAAATAGGTAACCACAAAAAATTTAACGAAATGGCCGGGCATTTCACATTTTGGCTGAAATTAAGTGTTGTGACAGATAATATATCTCAGATACTTATGAAATGACATTTTTCAAATTTGCTGCGATAAATTACCAAATTATCAATTAATCACCTGTTACAGTATTACTCCGATGTTCCATGAAAATATTTAAATTTTCAAGATGATTTTATGGATGATTGTATTTTTTACATTTTATAGTTATTTAATTGCTTTAATAAAGAAGAAATTTTACAATTGAAGAATCAACTAAAATTAAACCAGATTAATAATATTAATTTGGATGAAGAATACAAATCATTATTTGAATATCAAAATATTTGAAAAAATCTAATTATTATTCTATAATAGATTTCGTAATTAATAGTTGTTTTGTAAGATAAGATCGTTCAGGTTTACGTATTAAAAAGATTTACTATAATTCATTGTAATAAGAAAGTGTACAATATTAAATATACTGTATCTCATTCAGGTTTATCAAAAATTGGTAAATAATTGTAACAAATTACAAGAATTTGGTTTTACAAATAGACCAATTATGACCCCTACTATTGTAATGGAATTAATTAATTGAAATTTTATATATAAGAAGTACGGCTGATTCTAGTGTTAAAAAACCTTATCCAAAATTTGATTTAAATTTAATAAATCTTGTTCAAGATTTAACATGGTAGGATTAAGTCCTGATGTAAGTAAATTGTGATAATTGATATATATATACATACGGTATACTGTATATATATATATATTTTTATACAAGCAATACGTAAATTTCATAAATTAGAAAAATTATAAATATTAATAATTGGTGATAAAAAATTTAAAAAAAGATCATATAATGATATAAAAGAATTAGAAACACATCATAGATTAAAAGAAGTTAAATTTGTAGGAAATTCTGCTTTAGATCAAGATGTTAAAATTTATTTGGTTTATAGAAAAAGTAAAGAAAAATGTCAAGGTCCTTTTATTACCATAGTTACATGACTTTTAATAGGTTTTGACATTTATAAAAAAAAAACACAAAATAAATAAAAAAAATATTTTTCTATATATTGTAAGCATGAACAATTTTATGTATATCTTACATATCTTTCAATATGACGTTTATTTATTAATCAATCTAACTCTGTACTCGCACATGATTACTGAATTTGTAATCAAAAAAAAATATATTTTCATATAGAATGTAAAATTTTATAGATGTACTAGAAAATTATGCAAAAAAAGTAGATACATTCAGTAGGTAAATATAAGAAATTGAGGAGATGAATACAATATAGTGTGATTTTAGCGCTATATTAGATGGGTTTCAAATTGGTTAGTCTTTTATAGTGTAGTTTCAAAAATTTTTTAGATAGTTACCTTATTGATATGATGCTTTTGCGTCTATGTTTTAATCATTTATATTGTATAAATTTTTATAATACTAATAAAGGGTTACAAAAAAAAAATAAAAAAAAAAATAAGAAATTGAAAATCACATCCGGATTTGGACGCCAAATAAAAAATCAAGCATTTATTTCAGTCGTGAAATTTTTTTTTTTTTTTTTTGCTGATCGACAAGATCTTTTTCTTCTTCATTAATAAAATTTAACTTAATTATGTTTCATCATAATTTATTACGGAAAAGAAATTATTTTCCTATTAAATTTACATTAAAATTTTCAAGGACATTGTTATTAAAAAAATTTTCTTCAAAAATAATTGACGAATCATCAAAAAAAAGTAAAGTAAATAATAATAATTTAAGTAAATTGTATAGTGATACTTTATTATTACCAAAAACAAACTTTCCATTAAGGGCTGATGCTGCCAATAGAGAAATTTTATTTCAAGATCGATGTTCTAAAGATTTGTACAAATGGCAGGTATTTAAGATTTTTCTTTTTTCTTTTTTCTTTTTTTTAATACTTGTTTGTTTCTTTTTTAGATATTAAACTTGTTATTGATCACTAGATAGAAAATAATCCAAAAGAAATGTTTATATTACATGATGGACCACCTTATGCTGATGGAAGTTTACACATTGATAATTTTCATCAATTTAATTTTTAATTTTTAATTTATTTATAAAATCTAAATATTTATAATATTTATTTAATTTTATATTAAGGTCACGCGTTAAATAAAATATTAAAAGACATTATAAATCGTTATAAAGTATTACATGGATATAAAGTAAAGTAAGTTTCATAATTAATATAGAAAACTATTTTGTATCCATATATATTTTATGTATGCTAATATTATTCAAGTTACATTCCAGGATGGGATTGTCATGGTTTACCAATTGAATTAAAAGCATTAAAGGAATTAAGAGTAATATTATTATTATTTGCTTTATCGTTAATTATAATAAGAAAGTTCTGATACAATAATATATTTATTAGGGCGTTGATAAATCATCATTGACACCATTACAAATTCGTGATGTAGCAAAAAAAAGTGCTTTAGAAGCATTAGAAATTCAAAGAAAAGAATTTATTAGTTGGGGCATAATGGGAGATTGGGAAAATCCTTATAGAACTTTGGGTATGAAAATTTATACAACTTATTCCTAATTTTTAGATGATATTTTCTTAATAGTAGGTTATTTTTAGACAAGGAATATGAAGTTAGACAGTTACAGGTATTTCATAACATGATGAAGAAAGGTAATGACTCTAAGAAATTATCACCATTTTACCAAAGAGATTTATGAACCTTTTTTTTTTTAAGGATATATTTACAGGCAAGATAAACCCGTATATTGGTCTCCTTCTTCAAGGTAGTCATAAAACGTAAATTTATGTTTGTAAATTAGTCTTATAAAATATTTAAATTTATCCTTTTATCTTTTTATTTAGAACAGCTTTAGCTGAAGCAGAATTGGAATATCGTGATGACCATCAAAGCAATTCTGTTTATGTGAAGCTCCCTGTAATTAATTCAAGTAAACATTAAGAATGTTTCATCTAAAAATTTTCATAATTTTATAATTAATTAATAATATTTTTTTTATTTATTTTCAGCCTTAAATTCGCAAGAAGGATTAAAAGATAATTTATACATACTGATATGGACGACGACTCCATGGACTCTTCCTGCGAATCAGGTTTAAAAAATTATCTAATTACTTAATTATTTTGATCATAATTAATGAAATTTATTTAATTTAGGCTGTTGCAATAAATCCAAATATAGAATATTCAATTGTTTGTCCAAATAACGATATATTGACGATACAAAATAATTATATAATTGCAACCAAAAGGTTAGATGCATTACAAAAAATTCTTGGAACAGAATTGAATGTCAAATTTACGTTTAAGGGTAATTATATATTTTTATGAACTACTTTTTTACACGTTTTTTTTTTCATTTAATTTAACAAAATCAAATAATTTTTTATTAGGTCAGCAACTTATTGGAACAACTTATATACATCCAATAAGTGAAAAGCAATGTAAGATTATTGATGCTTCTCATATTACTGAAGAATCTGGTACAGGTAGATATTAAAAAAATAATAAATATACATGATCTATTTATGACAATTCTTAAAAGATCTTAATTTTTTTAGGGTTAGTTCATACAGCACCAGGTCATGGAATGGAAGATTATGAAGCTTGTAAAAAATTTGATATTCCAACATTTTGTCCAGTTGATGAATTTGGTATATTTACTTCAGAAGTAGGTGAATCTACATTTGAAGGTAAATTGGTGCTAACAGATGGAACGTTGGCGGTAATAGAATATTTAAAAAAAAGGAATAGTTTGATTAAAGAAGAAAAGTTTAAGCATAAATATCCTTATGATTGGAGAACAAAGAAGCCAATTATATTAAGAGCTACACCTCAATGGTTTGCCAATGTTGAAGCTATTAAACAACGAGCCATTGAATTACTTGAGGATGTTAAAATGGTACCTAAATCTGGTAAGATACTTTATGTATTTATATTTTTTTTTACTTTAAATTTATTAAAATAAAATTCACTTTGTTTTTTTTTATTATAGCACGATATCGATTAGAACAATTCACTTTATCACGAAGTGAATGGTGTATTTCACGTCAAAGATCTTGGGGAGTTCCTATTCCTGTTTTTTATGAATCAGAAACAGATGTTCCTCTGTTAACAGATTCTTCTGTAGAACATATCATTGAAATTTTCAAAAAACATGGATCAGATGGATGGTGGAAGCTTGATGATCAAGAATTACTTGCATCTGAATATAAAAATAATGGTAGTTATAACTAATTATAATTTTAAAAATAATTTCATTTAAATTATAAATAAATAAATGTTTGATTTTCATTTTATTAAAATTATCTTAGGTAAAACGTATAGAAAGGGAAATGATACAATGGATGTATGGTTTGATAGTGGAGTTTCATGGACTTTTATTTTGGAACAAACTAAAAAGTAAATAAATTTTAATTTTACAACGTATTTGTATATTTTAATTTTTATTTACTGAAATTTATTGATTTTTATAGAAAGGATTTTAAGACAATTGCGGATTTATATTTGGAAGGAAGTGATCAGCATCGTGGATGGTTTCAATCTTCATTATTGACATCAGGTAAATAATTAATTTTAAAATTTTATCTTTATTTATTTAGATCAAGTTTAATTAAAAAATTTTTTTTTTATTTAGTGGCCATTAATGATAAAGTTCCATATTCAACGTTAATTACACATGGATTTGTTATGGACGAACAAGGTCAAAAAATGTCAAAATCATTGGGAAATGTTATAAATCCTAGTACTGTAATTAAGGGTGGAAAGGTAAGTATAATTAGCAACACATTATAATAAATTTATATTTTTTACTAATTAGTTTATTATAATAGAACGAGCCAGCATATGGAGTAAATGTATTAAGATTGTGAGTTGCATCATCAGAATATGTTAATGATATTGGTATAGGAAAAAATATCATGAGTCAAGTTGGAGAAAATATTCGAAAATATCGTAATACAGCAAGATTTATGTTAGGTAATTTAAATAATTTTAAATATAATCAATTAGTTGAATATAAGGAACTTGATTTGGTTAGTAAATTTATTTAATATAGTCATGATTAAAAGCTAATTTGATTATTTTTTTCATTAATAGATTGATAAATATATGTTACATGAAACCTATAATTTTGGGAAAAATACTAAGATCTTCTATGATGAATATGCATTTAATAAAGGTATTTTAAAAACCTTGTTTTTTAACGTTCTATATTAATAAAACCTATTAATCATAATATTATTTTCCTAATAAATATAAAAAAATAGTCGTTCAGGCATTAAATAATCTCTCAAATGTGTTGTTATCAGCATTTTATTTTGATATTGTAAAAGATAGATTATATGCTGATCATATAACAAGTCAAAGTAGAAGAAATGTTTTAACTGTTCTTTATCATTCATTAATTGTATTTTTATTTATATAAAAATTACTAATCGGAATTTATTTTTTTATAGATTTTAAATATATATACTATATTATTATCACCAATAGTTCCATATCTTGCAGAAGAAATTTATGATAATTATAAAAACATTAGGCATAAGGAAAATGATAGTGTATTCAAATTAGGGTGGTATGATTTGGTACATAATTTATTTTAATTTTGCTAATTCTTTTTTTTTTTTAAAAAAAAAAAAATTAATTATATTCACTAATTATAGGATGAAAAATGGAATAATCAACTTTTGCAACAAGAGTGGAATACTTTAAAGCATTTAAGAAGTGAATTAAATCAGTTGCTGGAAGTTGCAAGAAAAGACAAGTATGCTTTAATATTTTGATTTTTATTTATTTGATTATCCATTTTTTTTTAAAAAAAATGACGTTTAAAATTTTATTTATATAGATTTATTAAAAGTTCTTTAGAGGGTAATGTAGAATTATATGTAAATTCTTCAGAATTATTACATTTATTACAAAATCATGGTAATGTAATACATATTATTGCTCATTAAAAGAATTTTAATTTATTTTTCTAATCATCCTTTTTGTATTAAATTATTAGATTTAAAATCTATTTTTATAAACAATCTCTTCATCTCCGGAAATGATTGAAAATTGTTCAAATAATACTTCGATATATACTAATGAAGTTGATTTATCTGATGGGATTTGTAAGATTATAATTAAAAGGGCTTCCTTATTTAAATGTCCTAGATGTTGGAATTATAATGCACAAACAGAAGGTGAATTATGTAAAAGATGCGAAAATGTTTTAGAATAAGTAATTTATATTATTTGACTTATCATATTAATACTTAAATTAATATATTTTACAAATCATATGAAGTTCACATAATATTTTGTAGTATATATAATAAATTTGTAAATATTTTTATTTAATAAATGAATAAGTTTAATATAAAAAAAAAGAATTATTTAAATTACATTTAAAATTTAAAATATTGATTAGTAAATATTTTATATATTTTATATAATATTCATTTTATTATTTTTTAAAATTATAAAATTAATAAATTACCTTCAATAATACTGTTCATTTTTGATGTATTCTGATTACTTGATTTGTCAAAATCATCAACTAAAAATAAAAACAATTATTTTTAAGCGATACATATATTTAATATAACTTTAATAATTACTTACTATTATAAGGAACACTAAAACCATATGATGATGATTTAACATGAAATGTTATTAAATAAAAATGGTTTTTAATTAAAGATTTTATAAATAAGGCTAAAAAAATCAATTCTATATTACCTTCTTGTTGTTCTGTTATTTCACAAATTAGAAGTGATGATATTATTAAAAATAGAAATGAAAATATTAAATGGCAAAAATTATTAAAATAATTTACCTTCTGTTGCATTTTTTTGCTTAATGTAGGTTTTCAAATTTATTATTATTTGTTAAATTATTCGTTTTTATTTTTAGTTGAGGTAATTCATTTGGATTGTTTTGACAATGTGACTCATCTTAATTGATCAGAAATTCGGCATCCCAACATTATTCCATTAAACTTTGTATTCTGAACGAATTTCTGATATAACTTTTGGTCTCATATCATTAATAATATTAATTGCAAGATTACAATCATGTTCATAATTTATAAATGGTGGTTGTCCAGATGAAATTTCCCACATAAGCATTGCAATACTATATATATCCGATTTTAAAGTATATTCTTTTTCATTAATAACTTCGGGTGCTATGTAAGGAAGATTTCCATATATGCATGTTGATTTATTTGCAGGACCACAAAATCCAAAATCACTAATACACCAAGTATTATAAACTGTGAATATAATATTATTTCCAGAATGAAAATCTCTATGAATTGAATTTTCTTTATGAATTTTATAAAGTGCATCAATTGTTAAAAAAGTAATTTTCATTCTTTCTTTCCATTTAAGTTGATTATGATTTTGTTGTAAATATTCTCTTAAATTTGCATCCATTCTTCTCATTATAAGCATATAATTTCCATCTGATTGATCTTGTGTTAAACCAAAACATTGAACAATCTCTGCATATTTGTTACTTATAGTCAAATGTGATTTAGCCTATAAAAAATGATTTTAAATTTTAGTTTCTTATAAATAAAAAAATATATCTTAAATTATTTTAGATTACAAACCTCTTCAAACCAACTTTGACTTGAGCGTACGCTTTTTTTTATTTGCTACGTTTTTATTTTCCTCTTGGAATAAGAAATTTATTTCATTATATTATTATTATTTATTATTTTTAAGATGTTGGATATAACAGAAATGATGTATGAGAGCCTTGATGCTCTAACCAATAATCCTTCTATTCCAACAACTCTGACAACCCAAATACTCCAATAACTCCCATGACTCTTTTGACTCCCTTGACTCCATTAACTCCAATCATTCCAATACATTATAAAGCATCAATAACGTCTCCATCATATAATATTCCATCTTCTCCGTTACATGAAATGGAAATATTACAACCAAATGATAATTGGAATCATAGACATTTTAAAATAATTGGTGACAGTAATGATCATTCAAAACGACATTTATCAAGAATTTTCATCATCAACTTTATCATCATCAGAATTCTCAATTTTAACAACAAACACTTTAAATTCAACTATATCATCATCACCATATCTTACTCTTCATAATGGTGATTCTTATTTGGATGATTCAGATTTTGAAAATTAATTAATTTTGATGATATTAATATTGATAATTCCAATAACACAAATTTTGATGTAATTATTAATATTGGAGAAGAACCACATGTTAAAAAATTTAGAAGTAATTCAATTATTTTAAGTAAAAGATCTTCATATTTTTGTACCACTTCTTCTCAATGTTGAGTGAAAAAACATGCTTGTTTGATAAACCAAATATGTCGCCAAAAGTATTTACCGCAATATTAAGGTAATTATTAAATTTTTTTTGTCATGTGTACATTCAAGATACTGTATATAACAAACATTTTTTTCCTTCACCCAGGTATCTTCATTTTAGAAATATTAAATTAGAGAGATTGGATATAAATGACCTATAACGGGACAAAATGTCCTTGACGAAAAACTCTCGGAGCGTTCGTCGGAGGTGTATGTTGTGTAACCCAACCTGAGTAATAATTAGGTTGGGCGTCGTTAGTTAAGTTATTGTGACGTGACTGTTTTTGCCTCGCTGAAGAGGTATTTATATTTGAAAAGTTTCGTGAATATCGAGTCTTTTTCAGTTTAGTGACCTTGACACCTTTTTCCCAAGCTTTCGAGGCGTCGTTATTTACATGCCAAATCGCTTTAGTTAGGTGTCCATGAGTGGTCATAAAAGTGATAGTTGCTTGCCGCGTCTTGTTCGAATGTTGTGTATATTTATGGATCAGATCTGTGAGTTCTGTCGGGATAAGTTGATGGACGAGTAATGACTGGAGTGCGATCCAGGGTTAATCAGAGGAGTAAGACAATCTAAAGAATCTATGTCATCTTTTAGATAGTACAAAATAATTTCTTCCTTAGCGTAATTTTTAGTATCATCTAAGTATCTTACTAGAACGGTATTGGAAGTGATATCACGGTCTTGTTCACGATTATGGATATTTGTGATTTTGGTCATGTTCAAAGTCAAATGACGGTCGTGTAAAGCGTCAATTCGTTGTATTATAAAAGCACTTATATTAATTTATCATGTGATATGTCGTCGCACTAAGTGTGACACGTGATGTTAAATGATTTCCATGAATATTTTCACTCCAGTGACCCGTCCGGGATATGAGGATCAATTTTTTTGTGTCGCCTTATTATTCTTATTTGGAACTATTTAGAAGTTAGAACTCATGTTTATATAAAACAAGACTGCTAGTTGCAGTGAGGTTTTTATACTATAGTTTAAGATAAATAAAAATACGCTTTTCCAAAAATGGCACTTCTGTTTATTTTAAATTATTTATTTGAAATTTCCTTATAGTATATGTACAGCCACAGCCACACAAAAAAAAAAAAAAAAAAAA